ATTTTTTCTTGCATGTTGAGCTTTGGCAAGGCCAACATTTATTGTCCATCCTAATATTTTTTGAAAAGCTGGTGGTAAGCTGCCTTGGTCTGCTGTGGTCCATCTAGTGTGTTCACCCACAATGCTGTTGAGGAGGGAGCTCCAGGATTTTAGACCCATTGAAGGTAGAGCAGTGGATGTGCTGTATGTGGATTTTAGTAAGGCATTTGATAAGGTTCCCCATGGTAGGTTCATTCAGAAAATACGGAGGCATGGGATTCAGGGAAATTTGGCTGTTTGGATACAGAATTGGTTGTCCAATAGAATACAGAGGGCAGTAGTAGATGGAAAGTATTCAGCCTGAAGCTCGGTGCCCAGTGGTGTTCCGCAGGGATCTGTTCTGGGACCTCTGCTCTTCGTGATCTTTATAAATGACTTGGAAGGGTGGGTTAGTAAGTTTGCCGAAGACACGAAGGTTGGTGGAGTTGTGGACAGCATGGAGGGCTGTTGTAGGTTGTAATGGGACATTGACAGGTTGCAGAGCTGGGCAAAGAAATGGCAGATGGAATTCAACCCAGAAAGGTGTGAAGTGATTCATTTTGGAAGGTCAAATTTGAATGCAGAATACAGGGTTCTTGGCAGTGTGGAAGAACAGAGGAATCTTGGGGTCCACGTCCATAGATCCCTCAAAGTTGCGACCCAAGTTGATAGGGTTGTAAAGAAGGCATATGGTATGTTGGCTTTCATTAGCAGGGTAATTGAGTTTAAGAGCCGTGAGGTTATGCTGCAGCTCTATAAAATCCTGGATAGACCTCACTTGGAATATTATGTTCAGTTCTGGTCACCTCATTATCGGAAGGATGTGAAAGCTTTAGAGAGGTGCAGAGGAAATTTACCAGGATGCTGCCTGGACTGGAGGGCAGGTCTTATGAAGAAAGGTTGAGGGAGCTAAGGCTTTTTTCATTGGAGAGAAGGATGAGAGGTGACTTGATAGCGGTGTACAAGATGATGAGAGGCATAGATAGAGTGGATAGTCAGAGGCGGAAATGGCTATTATGAGGGGGCATAATTTTAAGGTGATTGGAGGAAGGTATAGGGGAGATGTCAGAGGTAGGTTCTTTACTACACTGCTGGCAGCGCATTCCACGCACCCACCACTGTAGAGTCAGATACATTAGGCACATTTAAGCGACTCTTGGATAGGCACATGGATGATGGTAAAATATAGGGTATGCAGGGTAGTTTGATCTTAGGATAATACGTTGGCACAACATCGTGGGCCGAAGGGCCTGTACTGTGCTGCACTGTTCCATGTTCTATGACAACAAGGGATGACAATCGTGCCAAGTCAGAGTGGTGTGTGACTTGTGGGTTGAGGTGTTCCAATGTGTCTGCTCACATTGTTCTTCTACACAGCCAAGATTGCAAATTTGGGAAGGCTCATACCCAGTTTTCTTCTTTTGTTCAAATGCATGTCTGTTGAAAGTGAATAGTTATCAGACAGTGAGTGGGTGTAGTTGCAGGAACTGTAACACAAATACCAGTGGATGCAATGGCCTTAGTGGTACTGTTACTAAATTAGGAATTCAGAGACCGGGTAATGCTTTGGGTTTGAATCCCACCACAGCAGATGGGTGGAACTTGGATTTAGTTTTTAAAAATCTGGTATTAAAAGACGAAGATGGCCATGAAACCATTGTCACTTGTCTCAGACTGCTCTTTAGGGAAGGAAACTTTGTGACATGTGACTCCAGACCCACAGTGATATGGTTGATCCTTAACTGCCCTCTGAGCAATTTGGGATGTCTGCATCCCATGTCCAAATATATCTACTGGCTAGATAAGTGCTAGACATCATGGGTTTACAAAGCGCTGTTGAAGGCACCTTGGTGAGTTACCAAGGAAGAATTCAGATCTACAGCACAGAAAAGACCCTTCAGCCCCTCTCATCTGTGCTGGTCAAAAATAACTACCTAATTATTCTAATCCCACTTGCCAGCATTTGGCCCATAGCCTTGTGCAGTTGTGATGTCAATGCATATGTCTAAATACTTGTTGAATGAGGGTTTCTGTTTCTGCCATCCTTTACAGGCAGTGAGTTCGAGATTCCCATCAGCCTCTTGGGGTGAGAATTCTTCCCCTCACCCCCCTCTAAACCTACTGCCCTTTACCCTCAATCTATCTCTCCTGGTCATTGGTCCACCCACCAAGGGGCAAGGTTTCTTACTGTCTGCCCTATAGTTCCCCTCCATAAGTTGATACATCTCAATCGTGCCCTCTCAATCTTCTGTCCTTTTGAAGGAAAAACAACCCCAGTCCGACCAGTCCCTTCATTATTGACCCACTCCAGCCCAGACAATGGGGAAGCGCTAGTTTAATTTGGTGGATTGAGTTTCTATTAAGTGGGCTGCTCCATCCTGAACGGTAGCAATCTCCTGGAGTGCAGTTGGAGCTTTCTTGTATTTTTATAAAAAGTGGACCGCAGACTTCATGGAATTGGGAGGGAAAACTGCAGATTACAAGTAGTCAGCATACCCCTCCACTGATATTCCAATGGCAAGTCTCCCACTGTGGCCATCCACCCATCACCACTTTGCTTTCCCCATTCAACCTGCAAGTAAGAGTGCATTTATCCACTATTCGAGACCTGCATCGGAATGGAGTGTCATAAAACTGGAATTAGAAACTAGTCTTGTTGTCATGGCTACCAATAATGTTGATTGTTGTGAAAATCCATCTGGTTCACTCATGTCCTTTTTAGGGAAGGAAATCTGAAAATCTGGAGTCTCTCTCTCAAGCCAGACCCTGTAAGGAAAACAATGTTGTTTACTCTTAACTGCCCTCTGAAATGGCTTAGTAATCCATTCAGTTCAAGGGCAGTTAGGGATGGGCAACAAATGCTGCCCTTCCTAGTAACACCTTGTTCCCCTGAAATAAATCAGGAAAGAAAAGTTAAGTTAATATTGAGGACTGAACTGCAAAATGTTCAATGGAAAGATGGTTTGCTGACCTTGATTGTTTGGGACAGTTCAGGAGGGCAGAGGTCACAGTAAAACAATGGGAAGTATGGGGTCATTGCTGTGGATGTAAGTGATGTTTAACTAATCACGTTTCCTCTGCTATTTGTTTGGAATCCATAATTGTTTCCTTTATAAATTGTTTTGCCAGAAATTGAGAATCTTCAATTTCAGAGAAGCAGTATCAATGTTGGAAACTGTCTTACTTTGCTCCATAGTTGAATAGCTTTTTATGTATGAGCCAGGGCAGTAATATTACTTTGGTTCTGTTACAGTCACGTAGTCAGAAATAGAATGTCACATCAGGTATTCCAAATGCTTTTCCCCAAGAGGTCCATCTACATATTACAAAGAAGTTAAGTCTAGCTTACATAAGGTAATGGACTGTTAGCAAAACAAAAGGTTCTAATGGATGATCTTAGTAGTCTTGACTGGCATAATGTAACAATTGCTAAACATTATAAAAGTTGAGCCTCTGCTATTTATGAAGAATGTAAACATTGAGTGCACTTTTTATACAGAGACTTTTTGACCAGTTGTTGTTAATAGCTGCAGGACTTATCATTTGAAGTGTAGGGATGTAGGAATTCCTAAAGAAAAATTTGAGTCTGAAGTATGTATCTTTTGCCTTCAACCATCCTGGTCATTGGATAATATAACAATGGTCATATTGTTGACTAATCGCGAAATCAATCTCCATGAATTAGCATATGACAGATCCAGACAAGCTTGGGGATACCCATCTGTAACAGACACTTTAGGAACTACAGTCCAAAGTCACCTGTTTCCCTCAAGGCAACACACATCTTCATATTGCTGATATCTAGGCAAATGGGGAATATTCCATCACACTTAACTTGTGCCTTGTAGATGGTGGACAGGCTTTAGAGAGTCAAGAGGTGAGTTACTCACCACTGGATTCTCAGCCTCTGATCTGTTCCTGTAGTCACAATGTATATGTGGGTAGCCCAATCCAGTTTCTGGTCAATAGGAATTTCCAGGATGTTAATGGGGCAATTCAGTGGTAATGCCACTGAATGACAAGGGGAAATGGTCACATACCTAGATATTTTTCCACATAGTCAGATACTAGTGTTTGTAGCTGTACTAGAACAGCTTGGCTAGGGAAGGTGCAAGTTCTGGAGCATGAGCCTTCAATACTGTTGCCAGAATGTGGTCAGGATCAAAGCCTTTGCAGTATCTAATGCCTTCAGCCATTTCTTAGGGTGTGGTGTGAATCAAATTGGCTAAAGACTGGCCTCTGTTGCTTTCAGAGGAGGCTGAGATGAATCATCCACTCGGCACCTCTGGCTGAGTTTGGGGAGACACACACACACACACACTTCAGACCTTTGCTCTGATGTACTGGCAAGTGTTGAAGTCCTAAGAGGCAACAGCTGGATGACTGGTATCTTTGCAAAAAAACCTTCTGAAAACATGAGTAGAAATTTGCTATATCTTGACATCCAGATCAAGATATTTCCAAGTGCACGTAATTTTTGGAATGATGGAAATAATTTAACATTCTTGGCGGTGCTCTGGCTGGTGCAGAGATTGCTGGTATTCAGGATATGGAAGTAGACAATCTATGGTAATGAAGATGTGGGGTCTGAAGCTCATCTTGTATTCAAAACTGGTGCCAAGTCTGATAAAGTCTGGTTCTGCATCAGATGTTTTCTAGAGCAACTATAGGGGATGGTGGCTGGGAACTGACTTTCAAAGAGGACCATAAGCAGCAGCTTCTGCCTTCATCTGAATATACTCAGTTATGCTTCTAACATGTTTAATTCCTTTATCCGAAAATGATTCAAATGCCATTAAACTGGTCAGAGAAACTCTCTTCAGTTTTTCTATCTTGTCACTGAAAAGCCTGCAGTAAAACAGTAGAGAACTGAATTTATTTTAAATTTTTATGAGCAAAAACTTTTTCAGTTTATTAAACAATCTATTGTTCTTAATTTATGAGAGATGCGCTATTTTAATAGAGGACACTTTTGCTTCCAGCTGCCATGTTTATGGAACACTGGAAAAGATGCCAAATGAGGCTCATCTCCAAATGGGATCTCTCTGGGTTTGAAGAAGAAGAGGTTAGCCTTCAAAATTTGTTTTCTAAAGATTTTTAAACTTATATTAAATACACTACCTTTTATCACTGTTTTTTACAGTTTAATAACACTTGTTTCTTCTTCTGTTGCTGACGGCATGAAGGAACGATTAAAGGTTGGAACTTTTTAAAATTAAATACTGTATGCCTTTTACAAGCTTTGCCTAGTTATGCTTCTGAGTAATTCTTGTTTGGGGTGGGGAGGAATATAATCTAATGTGTTTTGAATCTTTAGTGCTTTTGCTGTTCTTCCTAAGTGTTGTGTTGTAGGAAAGAAGTGGTAATTTTGGTAATCGATAAGAATTATTTTAATGTTGGGATCTTTGCCTTCCAGACTGAAGGATTTTTCATGTCCACTCAATTATTTCAGTTGGGTAACTTGGGATTTCGATGATGACGACGAACCGTAGTGCAGCAACGTTAGGTTACTTTCGAAGCTAGGACTCTGGTGATAATAGTTTATGATTTCCCCTTTTGCTTCATTTTTAAACAAGCATGAAAGTAGCAGCATTTAGACATCTCGCTCTGCAGTGCGGAGGAAGTGCTTAAAGTATCAGGTGTAGTGGTACTGACCCTACCTCTCGGCCTGGAGGTCTGGTTTCAAGCCCTGCCTGCCCCATAGCTGGGCAATAATGTAACCTCACTGGTTGAAAATAACTGCAATGGTTAGGTGAGTATTTAGGGTGAAGCAGTAACCAGTGGGATGGGGATTAGGGGAGCTTTCATTTTCCTGTCTGTCATCCCCTGCAATGTCCAGTTGGGTGCCTGCTCTGACGATAACAGATCAGCAATAGCTGAATAAAACCTTCCGCAAAGTGAGCTTTTCCCCAGAACCTGAGCAAGGATTGTCTCCCTTTCTCTTCTAGTAATTTCATGATCCCAATTATGAACTTGGCATCTGGTCCATGACTAGAGTTTGATTTACTCGTTCCTCAATAGCTTGTTAATAGCCTCGGATCAAAGAAATTACTGCAAGTGGTGAGACGCCTCAGTTTTTTTCGGTTAGGAAAGGGCAAAAAAAACTGGACTGGAACCTTCAGTAAGTGGCATCTACTGATAGTAGAATAGAGGCAAACGCTTTATGCATTATCAAACCAAAAGGAGTGGCTCAGACTCTATTCGAGAACAACGGATGTTATCCACCTTTTGGGGAGCTTTTGGAAAATGTTGCAGCTTCCGTTTATGTAAACCATGAATCATCCCTTGTTCCTTGACGCAGTCAACAAGGACACTTCTAAGTTGAAGTTTAATAAAAGAAACAATTTTTTGCTAGATCATCCTAATATAATTTGGGTTCCCAATGATTGTAGATCATGTAATAAAATAAAACCCAAAAGAATTGTGTATGCTGGAAATCAGAAACAACAACAGAAGTTGCTGGAAAAGCTCAGCAGGTCTGGCAGCATCTGTGAAGAGAAAACAGAGTTAACGTTCCGGGTCTGGTGACCCTTCCTCTCCAGCAACTTCTGTTTTTGTTCCTGATAAAATAAGGAGCTGCTCTAGAAATGATTCAATGGCTGGAAAGAGTGCAGGAAGGCAAATAGCTATATTTTCAATTGCTTTCTCTTATAATTTGTAAATGCCAAGATCTTTATTTCTGTCTCTTTGGAAACACACAGGATCATCCACGACCTGAATATGAGGCCAGGGTTCTGAGTAAAGTTCTTAAGCAGGAACTCCAAAAGAAGGAAGAGGTATGAATGAACTTTCTAATGAATAAGCCTTGCATTTTGTCTTTAGACTCGGTAAAATGTTTGTATGAAGGTCTGCTTGGAAAATGCCAGAGTTCTTGTGTATGCAACTTCAATTGATTTGCATACTTTTCCAAGAAAAATTATTGTAGTTACTGTGTTTTAATCATTGAGTGCCTTTATTAAAAAGCTTGATGTTCCAGAGCTGTTTAATATAATCCATTGTAACATTGTCTGTTTACATCTAAGATTAGGATTTGAATTCCATCCAGTGTACTGAGCTTTCTTGCTGCACAGTTGGAAGCACAACCGATTAGGAGACAGAGGCTGCCTATTGTTCTTACTGGGAGATGTCTTGTCAAAGGCTGGTTAAATAAAGGAGAAAAATCTATTCTTATTAGATTAGGGGGCCTTTCTGAGTCTAGGATAATGGTACGTTGTCAGATGAAAGTGGATGGAGTTTCACTGTTAATCTGGCACATTATTAACATGCCCTGAATGGGTTTGATGCTAAAACTCCATTTTAAAATGGATTTCCCCATATTGAGTCCACAAGGAAAGTTTATCCCTTTTCATTCTCTTCAAAGAGAATCCATGAGTTAAATAACTTGGCAGTGGATCCCGTTGTAGTCTGTGATAATGCTGTGTGATTTGAATTTAACACTTCCTATGTGGTCCTTTTCTCTGCCTGACCTCAGAAGTCATCGGAACCAGTGGAAGAACAGCCAAACAAATGGAAAAACAGAGTTTGGTCTGCCATGGCCGGGGTGAAATTGGTACAAGTTGAAAATAAAACTGCTTATTCTTTTCTCCCAAGTTTGTTCAGAAAGACATGGGGCCAAGCTTATTTACTTCAAAACAAAGTATATGTCTAATGTCAGCTGCTATTACAACCCCATACCACAATACAATTACAGCAAATAACTATTGCAGGTTTGGTTCACTGTCAGGAAATAGACTAAATGAAGAAATTAGCTTTCCTTGTTTGGGTGCATGGTTTTAAAGTGCTTCCTTTTAGGATTACCAACATCCACCATGGGTCATTGGTTTGGCTTATCTCTCTGGCCCACCATGAAGGTCCCATTCATAATCAAGCTTCGTTAATTAAGATGAAATGACTGCACCATAAATAAGCTAGTGACCCATTTAAACCAAAAACAATCTAAATTTTGAAGGTGTATAATCCTATTTGAAGTGCCAGTCTTTCTCAACAAGCTATACTTTTCCAAAGCTTTTTCACATTGTATCTAATGTATCTGATAATTGGTAATACAGTGCATTTAGAGTGGCTGTGCATGTGAGTAATTATGTGGACACCTTTTTTAATTCAGTTTTGTTCCCAGTCACCTTGGTTTGGTTGCCACTGTGCATGTCATTAGTGACCTTTGCACCATGTGATGTGTTTTGTGATGCTTGACTAGTAGCTTCATGTATTGTAGGGGGTTTACTGTTGCTAAGCTTCTCATTTTGATGTTTGTCCTTTAGTAAATATCATGCATTAGTCATATCAAAAAGCTTGAATTTGCATCTACTTGGTAAGACCTCTAAATAATACTGATGCCCTGCAAGTACTGTTTAATGGAAAGTGTGACAACATGGGTGTCCCACAAATTAAAGCAGAAATGATATAGTAGCAATCTTTCTTTTTTTTTTTCTAAAATCCTAAAGAGCTAGACTTGCAAAGCAGCTTCACTCAATCACATAATTTGCTATTGTAACTTGATATTCATACTTCAGGTTCATCAGAAAGAGGGGTAACTTGTCTTTGTTTGGACATTTGTATGAAGTACTGACACCATCTTCATGTCTCTTTTTGCTATGCTAGCACTTATGAATTTAAAAAGGTCAATTGTCGATTTACATATCAGTAAAGGTGAATGGATGTACAGGGTATTTTGGACTGAAGAATGAAGTAGCTAAATGCTGTCTAGATAGTAAGAATCTAAGCAAGAGATGATGAGTGAGATTACAGATGTACAAATCTCAAATTGGCACTGTTCAATAAGATCATAAAGACCGACGAAATGCTGGAATTCATTCCGGAAGGACAATAGGGAAGTTATGTTAGACTTGTGTGGAATCTTGACCGTAGCATACTTGGACAGTTGTAAAAACTTCTGGTCTCCATATTCTAAACGGTTATATGTGGGCACTGGAGAATGTACTGAAGAGATTACAGGGGAATTCTGAAACTTGGATATTGCATGTATCAGGATCAAACAGTCTGAGACTGTTTGCTCTAAAAGTTAACACTGATGAGCAATCAAGTGTTTTTAGGATTTTTTTTTTCAGTTGGCATTGATCAACTTTGGCTTGCCTGAAGTGGAAGAATTTTGAGCAAGCTAACTAAATTGAGTAGGGTATTCAGGAGAAATGTCTTTAAAGAATGGTGAGAATATGAAGCATGTTGCATTTTTTAAAAAAAAAAAAAAAAAAAAAAAAAAAAATGGCTAAAGCAAATTTCAGGCACAAATCAGGAGTGTGACGGAACACACTCCACATACCTGGATGGATGCAGCTCCAACAATATTGAAGGAGCCACCACATTGACAAACATCCATTCCCTCTACCATTGATGCTCAGTCGTGTCAGTGCATACAATCTACAAGATGCATTGCAGAAATTCACTTTTGACATCATCCAAACCAGTGACCTCTACCACCTCAAAGCACAAGGCATTGACTGTTAAACACCTGATGTTAAAATATTAGTTGGACAAAGTCTAATAATCAGCAACACCTGGTTATAGATGTTTTCTAATCACAAAGTTCAGATGTTATGATACACCTCTGGAGCAGGTGGGACTTGAACCCAGCCTCCTGGCTCAGAGGCAGGGACACTGTTACTGCACAGCAAGAACCCTTCCACTGTGAGTTGTAAATGGGTGACAAATATCCACCCAATTCTCTTCTCATCCAAATATTCCCTAACTGACCTATAACCAATGCCCACCATCTAGTTATATTAGGTCTTGTGCATTTCAGACTCATCCCATCAGATTTCACACCACCACCTGTAGGTTTCTGGCCAAACAACTCTCCATCCTGACACACAACTATCACTCTTCCTTCATTGTCACTGAGTCGGAATGTTGGCGTATTGGGTTCTAGCAGCATTGGGTGCCACAACAACTAAAGAACTACAGAATTTCATGAAGGAAGCTCATTGCTACCTTCTGCAAGGTAATTAAGTTTGAAGAATATGTTGACCCAGCCAGCAACTCTCATTCAGTGAATGAAACATTAAAAAAAATTAATACAACCTTCTATTCTCAATTTCTTTATCTGAGCTACCATTCACTGACTCAACTTCTGCATTTTAAGGCTATCTTTTGAATTAACAAGACAAAGAAAAGCTACTCTCTGTTGTATTGACAGGCAGCTGTTCCTGCCATTATTTAGTTTTCAGTATGAATGGCATAAAACAATTCATAACATCCAGTCCTCCATCTTTCCAAACTTCTCTCAACTTCTCAAATGAACCAAGAATAGATGACCATTGGTTTATGTGATTATCAATTGATGCTTCAAACTTTACCCTTGTAACAGTCCACTTTTTTCTAAATTAATTTCATCGTTTGTAGATAGGAAATGTATATTCCAAAATAAAGATTTGCAAAAGAACTTTGGAACTTAAATTGTTGGAAGAGAAGTCTGCATCTAATTTTGAATTCGGTGCTTGTATTTTTGATGGGACAAACACCGGCCTTGTAAGAAGCACAATGAATTTGCATTTTCTATGGTATTCTAATATCATTTTACAAACAGTGTAAAAATGAACTGTACAGGATCTGGCTGATTTGTCCTGCAGCTGGTAGTATGTTCTGGGCAGAATGACCAACAGGGTAAAGTGTTTGCTGGCAGTCAGATTTGGACAGGAATGGCTGAGTCCAAAGTTAATTATCCGCAACTGGAAGGTAGCATTCAGCTGAAGGAACACTTGGTACGTCCAAGGCTGGATGCTTAACAAGCAGAAACCAAAAGAACTGCAGATGCTGTCGATCGGAAATACAAAGAAAAAGCTGGAAAAGCTCAGCAGGTTGGGTGGCATCTGTGGAGAGAAATCGGTTAGCGTTTCACGTCGCTGGACCCAAAACGTTAACTCTGATTTCTCTTCACAGATGCTAGCAGAGCTGTTGAGGTTTTCTAGCAATTTCTCTTGCTTTACAAGCAGTTTGATCACTCGGGCAGTTCAAGGTTGGAAGGATGAGAAAGGAGAAAGCGTAGAGGGACCTCCATAGTTCACGTAGAAGTTTATCCCACCTGTAGGATGTTTTTCACCAGTAGTTGGGAGGGGAAGTAAATCTCTCGGGTGTTCAGGCAATGAGTTTAAGAAGAAGAAAGAGAAACCACTGCCGGAGCTGCTGCCGCTGGAGGCTTGCTGGATGAGTTGTGTACCTGGTGCCTCGTTGACTGAATGTCAATGTAGTATCAACCTGATGAAGGTGAAAGTTTTCAGATGTTTTCTTATCCATTGCGCAAGAACATTTTAATATCTCTTAGCACAAACGATACTTAGCTGACATAAATCTAAGAAGTAGTTGCTTTTTGCAATCGTTCCGCCAAAAATATTACAGACCTTCATTATACTGAAGATCTCTGACATCTGACAGTGTTCTTTTGTGGTGCAGATAGGACTTTGAAAGATTTCTGTTAGCATTGAAAGAATATGTTGGTGCAGAAGTGAAGTTTTTTTTAAGCAAGGCTTCATGATAGCTAATGTCAGCTTTCATTTCAGAGTATTGAGCATCGGACTCCTGTAATTATGTAGTGCAGCAAACTAAAACAGATCATGGTGAAATGAAATTTTTGGATAGAAGGATAAGCAAGTAGGGGGCGAGATGAAGCAGGGGGAGAGAAGACTCCTGTGAAACATGAAATTCGGTACAGACTAGCTAACTTGTCTCTGTGCTGCAGATTCTATGTAATCTGTTCGATCCCTGACATTTTAAGAAGCTGTTCGGAATATTACAGTTAAGAAAGTGTTATTAAAACACAGGAGTATGAGTTTGCCAATTGGCAATGTCAGTGAGTAGGAGAATACATTCAAGCATAGATCAAACAATTGAGCAGAATGACCATTGACTTTCGATCCAGGAGTCAATTGTATTGAACATTCTGCATTAATTCAATAATATTGAGGTGAAATCTGATGGACTTCTCAATTCCAATCAGGACTAATTTTTGAGCGGAAGCTCCCAGCACTTTTTTTGAGTTGAAAGACAGCCTTGAGGAATTAACTTGTTTTTTTTTACTGGCTCTGCTTTGAATTTAGACTGAAAAGGAGAAACTGACTTGGAGGGATCGTACCCCCGCTTACATCACCAACATCGTCGCTGTTCTATTTATGGTATGAATGCGAGTGGATATTTTACAAGCCTTGCTTTTCTGTATTTTAGATAACATTGATTTATTATGAGACCTTGTAACATTATGCACATTTACAAACTTAGCAAACTTTTAAAAAAAAGTTATACAGCACAACTGGAGGCCATTTGGTCTATTGTACTTTTTAATTTGGCTCTTTTTCAGAACTATCCAATTAATCCCACTCCCTTGTTCTTTCCCGGTTGCCGTGCGTTTCTTCCCTTTCAAATATTATCCGATTTCCTTTAGAAAGTTGCTCTTGAATCTGCCTTCACTGCTATTCCTCCAGATCAGCACGGCTCACTGCTCAAACAATCAGCTCCTTTAGCTTCCAACAATGATCATGTTGACAAATATCTTAAAGCTGTTTCCTTCAGTAACTGGCCCTTTCACCAGTGAGAATGCTCTCTTGGTAACACTACCTGAGCCCTCCATTTTAATTAAATGACTTAAGCTACAACACAGCTGCAGCACTAAATACTTTTTAAAACTTTAGTGTAGCATTGCAATGCTTAAGTTGGACATTTCTTCCTTCTAATTCTGATGCTGTTAAAAGCGCACACGAGTACAAGATGGGAATCAAAACTGATTCCAGGGCTAATGAGGATGAGCATTGAGGAAATGTTAGAAAACCACAACAATTCGGAATGACTTGGAAATACCTCATTGAGAACCTTTTTATGCTATCATCTGTTAATAATATTTGAGATCAGAACTGGAGAGTGAGGCTGTAGAAGAGAACTTTAGGAAATCAGTTTAAGCAAAATTAAAAATAGATATGAAGAATAACTGAGTGATTAAATATTTGAAAGAATCTGCTTGGTAACGGAGCCAAAAATGATTATGGACATCCAGAATGGAACAGAATATGGTAAAAAGCAAGTTAGGTTATTGTAGGGTTGAGACTGCATTAATCAAATACTTTCTTCTGGTATTTGGTCCATGTGTTCTCTTAATGCTATTTTGTTATAACCATTGCACATTTTGTAGCTTACAATTCAAACGGTCCAAATGGAGCCAACCTAATAAGTGGGGCATTCCAGTCAATAGTCCAAAGGAGAACTCTCCAAGATCGAAGAAATGAATTAATTCTCCTTAATCCCTTTAAATACAAACACCTCTCACTTCCTGGCTTGCAGGTCACTTCCATCTGCTTGTGCATCCACTGAGCACAGGATCCTCACTGACATCCTGGTTTTATCGTTGTAATCAATTTCCTTCACCTCTGCGCTATTGTCTGACTTATTTTCCACATTCACCCTTTCCATGGGATGCACTTCTACTTCTCCATTTTACCACTTCTGCCTCCTCCCTCAGGCTCTGTTTTCTACCATTTCACCAGCTGGTCATCAACTCTATTGAGTGTATCTGCACCTGGCCACATCCTCCTTATCCCTGCCAAACTCTTAGTTTTCCAATTCAGGATCATCATTAAAGCTCTTATTTCCACCTTAAAACTCCAATATCACCTTGACTCATCAGATTGCTGTGATCAATTCTCGCTCTGATTATCCAATATCCCATAAAATACCCAGAGGTATCTTTGGGCACTATGTAAATATAAGTTGTTCAGCTGCTGACTTCGCCAACAATAAATAAAGCAATTACCACTCTGATTCAATGATTAAAATGAAATTATTCTCAATAAAAACTATAACCATGTGCTTATATCACTTTTTAAAAAAGCTTTTTAATTTTATTTTGAGGCACAAAAGCTCTGGTTTGTTAACTAAAATTGTCTGCCTTCTCCAGATTGGTCTGACCTTTGCAATAGTATTTGGAGTGATCCTGTACAGAATCTCCATTGCAGCAGCTATGGCTGTGAGCCCTGACCCTTATGCGAGAAGCAATGTTCGGGTCATTGTCACAGCTACTGCGGTTATCATCAATTTGGTGGTCATTCTCATTTTGGATGAAGTGTATGGCTCCATTGCCAGATGGCTGACAGTAATTGGTAAGGACAAGCTCTTGACATCACTTTTCATTTCTTAGTTAATTTCACTCTCTTGATGTAGTGTCACCAGAATGTTTATTTTTAAATGCACACATTACGTTCAAATGGTGTTGAGTAATTTCTAAACTCTGTTTGGAAGCAAAAAGGTTTACAGAATACAAGACCATTCTGTTTGGTGCATTTGTACAATTCGTTGGCTAATCAAATCCATTAGATTCTGCTTGCCCCAATGCTAATATTATCTATTAATAAATAGTCTTTATTTGAGGTGGTACAGTGGCTCAGTGGTTAGCACTGCTGCCTCACAGCACCAGGGACCCATGTTCAATTCACCCCTCAGATGACTGTCTATGTGGAGTTTGCACATTCACCCCATGTCTGCATGCGTTTCCTCTCACAGTCCAAAGATGTGCAGGTTAGGTGGACTGGCCATTCTAAATTGCCCATAGTGTGCAGGCCAGGTGGATTAGCCATGGAAAATACAAGGTTACAGGGATAGGTGGAGGAATGGGTCTAGGTGAGATGCTTTTCAGAGAGTTGGTGTGGACTCGATGGGCTGAATGGCCTTTTTCTGCACTGTAGGGATTCTATGAAAAAACCTGCCATAAATATTATTGTTGCTTTTTTGTTTACCCAATATTAAAGAGCAAAGACCATTTACCCTACCACCTCATCCACTTCTTATTCCAAACATTTTCTGCTGTTCATCATTTATATTGCTCGTAGGTTGGTCTGTAACTCCACATTTGATTTTTTTTTTAAATTTCACGGGATGTGGGTATTGTTGACTGAGCCAGCATTTTCTGCCTACCCCTGAGTGGCTTGATATACGGGCATTAAGAGCCAACCACATAGCTGTGGGTTGGGAGTCGTGTGTAGGCCAGACCAGGTAAAGGATGGCACATTTCCTTCCCTGAAGGATATTAGTGAACCGGATGGGTTTTTATAAGAGTAGGTAATGATTTTTTGAATTAGCTTTCAATTCGAGGTTTGTGAATTGACATTACCTGAGATGATGTGGTGGTATTTGAACCCATGACCCCAGAGAATTAGCCTGGCTTTCTGATATTACCATTTCCCCATTTAGCTGTCTTTCCCATAAAAGCTTCAGCTCTGCTTCAGCTGAGAAGTGGTTCAATTGGAGCTTGAAGTTAATTGAATTTAGTAGCTGTTTGATAAGTTTACACATTGCCCATTACTAGTAGATTTTACATTCCAGATCATAGAATTTGTACACTTGACATTTTGAAGTATGATAGATGCTCCCAAAACTTTTGCGAATAAACAAGTAGTCTGTAATGGTAATGGGTTATTGGAATGAGGTCAGAAGAAGTTTAAAAAAGAGAAGAAACTGACATTGCTGGCAGTTCAAACGCGATTCACTTAGCTGTTTGCTAGCATGAAGGGATTGCCTTAGCAAGAATGGTTAAATAGTTAAGTTTTTAGTCATTCAAATTTAGAGGAATGAAGGGGGAATATTTTTGAGCTTATACGATTCTGAGGGGGCTTGACAGGGTGGATGTTGACTAGATGGTTCCATGACTGGGGGAGGCTTGAACAAGGGGGAAACAAGCTACAGAGTAAGGGGGTACTCATTTAAAATTGACCCCCAACAATAACAACCTTTCTCCTGTTGTGCCAGGTATGACTCCAACCAGCAGAGGGACCCCCCACCTTCCCCGTCACCCCAGTTTACATTGACTGCAGTTTTGTTGGGACTAAAACAAAAATAGAGATTACTGGAAAAGTTCAGCAGGTCCGGCAGAAATCGGAGTTAACGTTTTGGGTAGGGTAACCCTTCCTCGGAACTTACTGGGCTCCTTGATGCCACACTTGGTTGAATGATGTCAAGGGCAGCCTCACCCATAGAATTCAGCTCCGTTTGGCCATCTTTAGACTGAGGCTGTAATGAAGGGATGAGAAGTGTCGAGAGCTCAGGGCATTGTTAGGAGATTACAGAGAAAGTCAGGGGTGAGGCCCTCTTTTATAAGATGAAAACATTCTATTTAATATCTTACAGACTTTCACCGGTTCTCAGTCCTATGAGAATTAGTGAAAGTTCAGATCATTGGGGAGGTGGTATGGGTTGGGAGGAGTGGTGCTGACCAAGAGAAATTGGGCTATTTCAGTCATTATTTGTCCGATGCTACAATCCTATTTTGTTTTACCCCTTCTACAGAGATTCCCAAAACAGATAAAAGTTTTGAAGAAAAGTTAATCTTTAAGGCTTTTCTGCTGAAGTTTGTGAATGCCTACACTCCAATCTTTTATGTTGCATTTTTCAAAGGCAGGTGAGTGATTTTAGAACAAAATGTTCCCCCTCACGTGCCAACCTAGCAAGGACTCTGATACAATGAAATCCCACTACGGTCAAAACAGGTTGTGTTCTTGTTGAAGTAATGTGCAGTCTTTGAAGTCTGCCCCGAGGCAGTGTCCCAGTCTTAACCAAGTTAAACTACTTCCTTCTGTCTCAAATGCAGAATTGGGAATGCTTGCTGTTGATTGCAATATTCAGTCCTATTCTCAATTGCTGGGACAACGTAGCAAGGACTGGACATTATTCAGGCTTTGGTTGATAAAGTAGTGAGTAACATTTTGTGAGACAAAGCCAGGATGGAAGTTGGCTTTTTCAACTTGATCATGAGCTCCCTTCTGCGTGAGGTATCCATGTGCATCATCTGCAGGATGCACTTCAACTTCCCAAACTGCACCCTCTAAGGGCAAGGGCCACAGGTGCAGGAAAACTCCATCAGCTGCAAGTTCATCTTTAAGTTCCATTATCTTCCTGACGAGGAACTATATGTTCCCTTTGAGTTAAAATTGTGGAACTTCCTCCATGTGGGGCATAGCTTCATATGGAGTGTTGAGTCTGTGAAGACAGCTCACCATGCCCTGCTCGATGGAAGCAGTTGCTGAAATTGTCTGTGACACTCTTTTTTTAAAAAACAGTTCTGCAGTTGGGTTGGCTAATTGTTTCTGGTGGGGATGAAAATCTATTTCTGATGGAGCCACCTTGTGATTTTGACTCTTTTCAACCGAAGTACAATTTAACACTGTGTGCCTTTTAAATTGTAAATATAATTCTTACCAAATATCAGATAACAAGCTGTAGAGCTGGATGAACACAGCAGGCTAGGCAGCATCAGAGGAGCAGGAAAGCTGATGTTTCTCCTTTCTGAAGAAGGGCCCAGACCCGAAAACGTCAGCTTTCCTGCTCCTATGATGCTGCTTGGCCTGCTGTGTTCATCCAGCTCTACACATTGTTATCTCAGATTCTCCAGCATCGGCAGTTCCTACTATCTCTTACCAAATATGGTTTGCTTCTAGGTTCACAGGCCGCCCTGGAAAATATACCTATATTTTTCCTCACATGAGAATGGAAGAGGCAAGTTGGTTATTTTTTAAAAAATAATTGAAAACTAGTCTTGGAATCATATGGCAAACTTTGCAGTGAGAGAAAGGACTGACTTTTGTTCAATTTGTTGTTAAGTGTGCTCCTGGAGGCTGCCTGATGGAACTCTGCATTCAACTGAGCATCATCATGCTGGGCAAACAGCTGATTCAGAACAACCTGTTTGAAATTGGCATTCCGTAAGCATTTACCTTTATCCTGTACAGACTGGTGAAGGACGTGAGACTAGTTCAATTACTTGTGAACTTGTGCTTTATTTTTCCTGTTTTTCTTTCCTCCGTATTGCTTTCACCAATTATTTAAGCTTCCAGTGTCTTTTGAGCCTCTGGTTTTAGGCCTGTATCCTTGGGAGGAGGTGTCTAACCTGTACTCCAGCCTTTCCCAGAGTCACTGGGTAAACAGCTACCAGAAGGTGTATGACACCAGTGGCAAGCAGTCTCTCTATGAACTTGTGACTTTTGCTTGCAGCCTCTCCTCACTGGGACGGCTGTGATCAAGAGCTCACCAATGGAACAGACAGTCACGCAAACACTATCCTAATACATTCCAAGAGATATTTTGGGTGACAGCTAACAGCTGTTATTGCATTGGCCTGTTGTACTCTCTGCCTGGTACTTGATTCTAGTGAAATCGACCTGATGTGCTATCGTATAACCAGGTGTAGATAATAAAAGGTGCAGCCCCATCCATTTTGAACAATCACCCAAGCTGTGCTCCTTCTCCAATATGCTGACAGTCCTATGTACATCTGTCTTTCAGGTGTTTTATATGATGTGACATCTAAACAGTAAATTATGCTTTTTGGTATTTTGTGATATTGACAAGCTCCGGAATGTTGTGTGGGAAGAGGGTTGATGACGTGTTTATCCAATTCATACTGTCAAATCAAGACCATAATTAAGATCAAAGTTGCATGTATAAATTTTTTTATGATTTGCATATTTGGTCAGAGTATTCAAAATAGAACATTTGATCCAGACCTTGTGGGATGTTTTGATTTATTATTGTCACATAATGTAATTGATTTATAGAGCTCACTATAATCCATTTATCAGATCAGAATTATTGAGCTGTAAACCTATGATCATAACTCCTTAATTTGTATTAATGCTTCTGCAAAGTCAAGGAGACATTTCTAGGTAAAAGGTAGGACAGTTATGGCAAAGGGTGGTGTGTGCAGTGTTGGTGCTGGAAAGTGTGGCTAATGGGTGCTTCAAATCCATGGATATCTCAAAGAACTGCCTGAAGGCATTCCTGAAATAAATCAGTGGGACCTACATCAGGTGAGATTTGACTTATTGTAGTCATGTGTACCTAACTACTGTGGAAGGCTGTCTTGCAAGCAGTACAGGCAGATTACTGCAAACAAGGAAGTACAGATCATCGGGTGCTTAGAGCGAGGCATACAGGCTTCACTGCACAGGAGGTGCACAAAGCAAGACCAACATTATTTGAAGTTAGAGAGTCCATTCATCAGCCTAATAACGGCAGAGAAGAGGCTGTTCTTGAACCTGTTGGTGCAGGCTTCTGTATCATCTGCCTGATTGAAGAGGTCGTAAGAGAGCATTACTGGAGTGAGCGAGGTCTTTGGTAGCCTTTCCACAGTAATGAGAGGTAAATGGAATCCGTGGATGGGAGGTTGGCTTCTGTGGTCTGGGCTGTGCACACCACCTTCTGTAGTTCTTATGGTCCTGGGCAGAGCAGTTGCCATACCCGGCTGTTATGCACCCGGACAGTATGCTTTCAATGGTGCATTTGTAGAATCTGGTGAGGTACCCTAATAACATGCCAAGTTTCCTGAGCCACCTGAGGAAGAAGAGATGTTGTGCCTCCTTGACTGTCACACCTATGAGAGGAGGCTTTGGTCTGGTTGTGGCTCTAAACTTTCATGGGACTTTTCATCCAAAAGCCAATAGCAATAGACACCTGAAGGATTAATTGCAGTTTCTAAGTAACCCACCATCTCTCATTGAAAAGGAGTAGGGAAAGATACTGCTTTTTGTTTCACCTCATTTGGCTCTTGGACTCGAAGTAGTAAGGTGCCTTGAATTAGGCCACACCACAATACATGGGCCTCAGTCTTGACTAAGTGATGCTGTCTCTGGAATTTATGATGGCATTGAGTGAAGCCTGTACTATCCCATTAAACCATTCGAGCTGGAAAGTCAGATTTCTTCAAATAAAGCGCTTTTCATTTTTTTTATTAGCTTCATTTGATCTACATCTTCTGGGCTTTATTGAACTGGTCAATGTTTTTGTTTGAAAAGTGGACATGTGACCATATAAAGCAGGAATATGCCACTTGGCCCCTACAGTGTAGTGCTCCATTCAGTAAGTTTGTGGCTGATCTGATTACTCCATGTTTCCACCTATCCCCAATAACCTTTCATCCCTCTGCTTATCAAGAATCTAATTACCTGTGCCTGAAAAATATTGAACAAATCTGCCTCCACTCTTTTTTTTTTTAAGAGGTGGAGAGTTACATAGACTCAACCCTCAGAAAAACAACCATCTCCATAGAATCCCTGCAGTGTGCAAGCAGGCCATTCAGCCCATTGAGTCCACACTGACCCTCCGAAGAGCACCCCACCCCCTATCCTATCCTCTCCTATCCCTACATAGTTGTTCTTTCACAAAACCATGTTGACTCTGCCTCGTTACGTTGAGCATAACCGTGTCCTGTTATAACTTCTTTCATTATAGTTTTAACATTTCCTCAATGCCAGATATTAAACAGTCTGTAGTTTCCTGCTTCCTGTCTACCTAATTTTTTTGGATAAAGGAGTTAATTTGCTAACTTCTAATCGAATGAAACGTTCCTCAAATGTAGGGAATTTGGGAAAACTTAAAACCAATGCATCTGTTATCTCGGTTGCCACTTCTTTTTAAGGTCCTTGGATGAAATCCTTAAGTCCCTGAGGCCTGGACAAACCCTTGGTTCCAACAATTTGCCCGTACCACTTCCCTGGTAATTTATAATTTTCTTGAGTTCCTCCTTCTCTCCCTTCCATTTCCTGATTTAACAGCTATTTCTGGGGTATTGCTCATATCCTGTATTTTACTGAGAATCTGGTTAAGTAGTACATTACTGTAAAAAGGAGTTGATTAATATCTGCACATATCATCTGAGGAATCTTGTCTCTTTGTACTTGTTATTTCAACTCCCTTAGTTGCCCAATGCAGTGATCTGTTCAGTGAACAGCCCCCAAGATATCATCGGTATTTATAGTGAAATCAGTATATTTTGAAAAATACTGAACTTAAATAATTTGCTTTATTCTTCACATCTTTATCCTCCACATACCACTGAGAAACAAAAAAAAAACACAAGATATCATCTCACCAAATAGATTCATGATGCTCCATTGCACTATTTCTGATCTTGTCGGAAACAACCAGAAAATGTTGAAACTGACTCTTCTCGTGAATTAGCCACATAGAATTTGTTTAATTAAATCTTTCACAAGACGTGGGTGTCACTGGCAAGGCCAGCATTTGTTGCCCATCCTTAGTTGTCCTTGAGCTGAGTGGCTTCCTCAGGCATTTTGGTGAGGAGTTAAGAATCAACCACATTGCTGTGGGTCTGGAGTCCCAAGTAGGCCAGACCAGGTAAGGATGGCAGATTTCCTTCCCTAAAGGACATCGGATGGGTTTTTGATAGCGATGGTGGTCACAAAACTGAGACGAGCTTTCAATTCCAGATCTTGTTTTGATTCCTTGATGTTAAACTCCAGCCATTTACCTTGTTGGGATTTAACCCTGTCTTCCCAGATCACTAACTGGGATCTCTGAATACAGTGTCATTACATTACTATGCCCCTGAAAGAGTCTTATTGGCATAGCAAGACCTGTTTCTAACCATTTTGCCCATGCCAACCTATTGAAAGGGTGATCCATTTGTGTCTCTCTATAACTTTGAATAAATACTTGGCAAAGAAAACGTATGCAATTCCCTCTCCAAAGCTTCTATTGAATTTGCTATAACCCCCGCCTGCCCCTGGGGAATAAAAATCAGGCAATATGCCCAGACTATAACACTTCTCTCTGATTCATTAGCTGATTTTCTGAAATCAATGTCTTTTGAGTACTGACCCTCTTGCCAGGAAAAATGTATTCTCCTTATACACGTTCCATCAAATTCCTACATCATTTTGAACATGTCTATTAAAGTTCTCTCTAACCTTCTCAGCTCTAAGGAGGAAAATCCCAGCTCCCTCAGTCTCTAAATAGAACTGAAATCTCAGGCTAAAGTATAAACTAGCAAAATTGACACAACAGTTCATTTGGAGTGATGTGTGTATTTTTAAAAGCTTTTTGTCTGCTTAGTTTGCCAGATGAAGATGATGAATAGTTTGTTGTTCCTCAAGTTCTACCCTGTCAAACACAATCCCATTACATCCGTACATCTGGCAAAACTCCTCTGCAATAACTGAGATTTACCTCGTTTTCCTTTCTCTTAGCACACAGTTGAATGTCAGTATACAAATTCTCTCTACCCACAATTCCCTGCTCATTTTCTGAGGAAGGGTCTAGGCCCAAAACGTCAGCCTTTCTGCTCCTATGATGCTGCTTGGCCGGCTGTGTTCATCCAGCTCTGCATCTTGTCCCTGCTCTTTGTGACAGGTGTCTACTGCATCTTGCTGTAGAACTCATCTGAGTAAGAAGGCTGTAGGTTAAATCCTCCTACAGAGCCTTTAGGACGAAATCTGAGCTGACAATTCAGCTTGACGCCCAGAGCATGCTGCACTGTGAAACATGCTATTGTACAAATGAGACATCCTAATCATACAGGTCTACTTTGAAAAACTAGGAAGTTCTGCCCAGTACTGGCTAATATTTTCTCCTTGCCCACATAGAACATAGAACATTACAACGCAGTACAGGCCCTTGATGTTGCGCCGACCTGTGAAACCAATCTGAAGCCCATCTAACCTAAACTATTCCATTATCATCCATATGTTTATCCAATGACCATTTAAATGCCCTTAAAGTGGGCGAGTCTACTACTTTTGCAGGCAGGGCATTCCATGCCCTTACTACTCTCCAAGTAAAGAACCTACCTCTGACATCTGTCCTATATCTATCACTCCTCAATTTAATGCTATGTCCCCTCGTGCTAGCCACCACCATCTGAGGAAAAAGGCTCCCACTGTCCACCCTATCTAATCCTGTGAGCATCTTGTATGTCTCTATTAAGTCACCTCTTAACCTTCTTCTCTCTAACGAAAACAGCCTCAAGTCCCTCAGCCTTTCCTCGTAAGACCTTCCCTCCATACCAGGCAACATCCTGGTAAATCTCCTCTGCACCCTTTCCAATGCTTCCACATCCTTCCTATAATGCGGTGACCAGAACTGTACGCAATACTCCAAGTGCGGCCGCACCAGAGTTTTGTACAGCTGCAATATGACCTCATGGCTCCGAAACTCAATCCCTCTACCAATAAAACCTAACACACCGTATACCTTCTTAACAACGCTATCAACCTGGGTGGCAACTTTCAGTGATCTATGCACATGGACACCGAGATCTCTCTGCTCATCCACACTACCAAGAATCTTACCATTAGCCCAGTACTCTGTATTCCTGTTACTCCTTCCAAAGTGAATCACCTCTCACTTTTCCGCATTAAACTCCATTTGCCACCTCTCAGCCCAGCTCTGCAGCTTATCTATGTCCCTCTGTAACCTGCAACATCCTTCCGCACTATCCACAACTCCACCGACTTTGGTGTCATCCGCAAATTTACTAACCCATCCTTCTACGCCCTCATCCAGGTCATTTTATAAAAATGACAAGCAGCAGTGGCCCCAAAACACATCCTTGAGGTACACCACTAGTAACTGAACGCCAGGATGAACATTTCCCATCA